TTAATTGACACATTTTATTTAAATTTAAGAGTGATACTCGCATCCAGAGCAGCTTCTACCATGTTACATGTGAACTGTGGAAAATGAATTAATATTTTAGAAACACGTTTTTTACGCGTTGTTATCTGCTCAACTTGTAACTGGTGATCATCGTTTTCGTACAGGAAAGTGGAATCTTTAAACGCAACAAGTTTATCGTTCTTGAATATGACGCATGTTAGAGACTTCAGATATGGGCTGTTATAAGCACCTAGAACTGTGTACATAGCCGTCATTACTGGCTGCATGTCGGTTAACTCACAGGGAGTGGTCTGCATAACCATAAATTCATGCCACGTTCTTTGCTATCAATGTTGACAGGGAACTCATACCTCTTATCGTGTTTATGCAATCGAGTTATTATATCACCATTACGCTGAAACTTGAAATAGAGAAATCCAACATGATAAACGGGGGATTCAACCTCAAAATTCAACGGTATTGGGTCCCATGTTGGGTATCCTATACCGACATCTGCCATATGTAAATCACCCACTTGATTGAGATCACGTACCAACGTACACACATGATTATTTTTAGCCTTTAATACTGAGCTCGCGGTGTGGTAGACATCATAACCAATCTTTTCCAGAAGTATTTTCATGAATTGATTAGCCACATAAGAACGGCCACCTCTCTTTCTGAATAAATTCTCTTTAATTTCATCGAAAGGTGGTAGGTGACGGTCTTCTGGCTTAGTACCTAAGCAAACTATGTTTTGAAATGGCTCAACGTGCAGAAATTGGTAAAGTATTTCTCTGAGTAGTTTCTCTTTGTTGTGTGTGAATTTTGTTTCCGCGTCTTCAATGAAAAGGACTTCCTCTAAAAATATTTTGACTTCAACATCGGATAGGGTTGACATTTTCCTTAAAGAAATGAAAAGTTATAAGGTAAGATACATCAAACGATCCTTCAGGTTCTGGTCTGTTAGCAGAGGACGTACATTATCACATTCTCAATGGAGCTGGCATGGTTAATTTCATCAC